CCCCCGGAAGGGACCAGCGCGGCGGGGGGGACGCGGAGCGCCCCCTGCTCCTCCCAGCCGAGCGGCGCGGCGCGGGAGGGCACCAGGCCGGAGGCCGGCGGAGGCGGGGGTGCGAGCGAGCAGTCGACGCCATAGTACGGCGGCTTGCACGCGCAGAAGCCCAAATCGCACTCGCCGCGGCCGTGGCAGTCGTTCGGGCAGTAGGCGCGGGGCGGCCTCGCGCACCTGCTCACGGCAAGAGCTGTGAAGAGAGAGACTCACCGCGCCACCAAGTGTGCGGCGGCGGCCTCGCACCGTGCGCCGCTGTACCCGCCCCAGCAGCGGCACTTGCCTGGTGGGTGGGCGGGGTGGACGCGTCACGGGACGCGTCGTGGTCAGGTGCGGGCCGCCCAAGCAGCGCATGCCGTTTGGGCTGCAGCTGCCGTGCTCGCTGCAGCGGCCTGGGCACTGCTCGAGCGGAGAGCCTATCTCCACACCAGGCTGCGGCGTGGGAGAGAGAAGAGACGGCTGGCGCTGCAGCGGCCGCTGCTTGAGCGGCTCGCCGACGCAATCGTACGCCGCGGAGGAGCCGCGCGAGAGCGAGGAGCGGTCCCCTACAGGCGAGGAGTCGAGCTGTGAGCGCGCGAGGTGTGAAGAGGGCGGCGAGAGAGAGAGAGAGATGTCTCCGAGGAAGGTGACGGGGAGCTGGCCGGCCCCGGCCGACACGGAGAAGGGGGAGGGGTGCGACGAAGTGCAGGCGGGGCGGTCGCAGAACCACGGCGCCTACTCGTTGCAACGCACGCCGCTCGCTTTTCCCCGCGGGACAAGCGAGGGCCGCTCAAGGCGAGGCGACGGGCCGAGTCGTTGTACACGCACCAGCCACTGAAGATGTGAGTGCGCGCGATCGCAGGCTCGACGACGAAATCGCATGCGGGTCCCCACCGGTGGCGGGGGCAGTCGCACCGCCCCAGCGGCGGGTAGCAGACCCCTCCCCGCTGCGAGCACTCCGGCGGGCACTTTCCCTCGCCGTGGTGCCACGCGGTGCCTGCGAGGCAGACAACAGCCGCGCAGTGAGGAGGCGGCGCCGTCTCGCGGTGCCCTCGCCGCAAGCACGGGAGGCGCCTGTGAGGAGCGGCCCTTGCCCGCCCCCCGCCTGCAGGCCTGGGGGCGAGTCCCTCTCCTGCCAGCCTGCGGAGCGAGGACGAACTCGTCAGAGCATGCTGCTCGAGGCTCGACGGCGCGCCGCCTCACAGAGCACGCCTGCAGAGCGGAGCATCTTTGCGAGCTCGCGATCTCGCGAGGCGAGCCCCGCTTCGCCCGTGCCCCTCGCCTATTCGCGGCGTGAGGCGTGAAGAGCTCTCGCGGCCGCCGCGACCCGCCTCGCCACCCCTCCCGCCTCGGTAAGCCAGGTCCGAGTGTGCGGCTGCGTGTCGCGAGGGCTGCCATCGTGCTTCGACATGTACCGCAGGTGCGCCAGGTAGGTCGAGGCGAGCGGCGAGGCCGAAGGCGGGCCTTTGCCGACGGTCTCTGGCCGCGGACGGACGACAGGCGGCGGCGGCGGCGGCGGCGGCGGGCGGGCGACAGGCCGAGGCGGCGGTGGCGGTGGTGGCGGTGGTGAGGAGGATAAGGGTCGTGGCGTCCGAGCTGTGGTTGGCGGCAGAGAGCGAGGCGTGCCGGTGGCGCCGGCGTGCGAGGGCGTCGCGATCGGCTGCGGCAGCCGGACGCCCTGAGAAGCTGGTCCGCGCCACATCTCGTGCCGGAGTGGCAGCGGCGAGGCGGGCGAGATTGTGGCGTCGGCCGTCAGCCGCTGGCCGACCGACTCGACGCGCGAGCTGGCGAGTAGCGCGAGTATAGCAGTGCTGGCGGCCAGCGCGGCGGCGGCCAGCGCGATGGAGCGTCGGACTTCCATGTACACACGTGTGTGCATGCACGGGAGAGCCCACAATGATTCGCTGGCCACAGAAAAAGAATTACAGCGAGCAAAAGACACCGCCGCATTCCTGAGACGCGCGATGGCAGCCTCCTTAAAGGCAATGGGGTCTAGAGCGCTCGCCGAGGAGACGTACGACAAAATAGCGCCCGTGATTGCCTGCACGCTGCCCGCACTCACGGACTCCATACCCGAAAGAAAGAGAGGGGAGCTCGCAGGAGAGGTGACGAGTGAACTACAAGTTAGTGGGGAAGGCAGCCTCGATTGCCATACAGACATGGGTGCGAAACAACGACAAGACCAAGGCACGGGCAGAGGGGCGAGAGAAGAATATAGGGTGGATAAAGCGCCTGTTCACGGCATGGAGGGTGAGCCACGCCGAACGTACCGAGCGTAGTCGCGTAGAGCCGAGCGGAAGGAAGCCGGGGAAGACGACTCCGAGGAGGACGAACCAGTGGAAATCCCGTTGTCAGCTGTCACGATGCACCCGAAGGGGACCCCAGCGCCAGCATCATCCGTGTCCTGAAGGCACAAGTGTTCGAAGAGAGAGTGGACCTGAGCAACGATATGACTTGGCGGCAAATGATCGCAGTGGGCGTCAGAAGAGTCGTCCTTGCACGAGGAGAGCTCGATAAACTCGAGGGGCCAAGATACGCCGCGAGGAGGGCGGAGTTGCGCCGAAAGACGGGAGAAGCCGCGAGAGCAAGGGATCGGCAGGCGGCGGCGGCGTCGCAGGACGAGGCAGACGAGAGCGACGCGACAGAGGAGGAAGCGACAGGAGGGAGAACGACGAGAGTGGGACGACCGCGCGGTGGCATGAAGGTTGCAGCGAGAATCGGCGAGGGACTGCGAAGGGAGATAGAAAGAGGCAGACGACCAAGGGTTAGGGTGGGCGACGGCTAGCACCACACTCCTCTCCTTAAAATCCCTGTGTGGTGGCGGCGTGCCGTCCTCCCATCCCTCCCTTGGGTTGTCTGCTTTCTTTCCTTTACACTAACGGGACTGGCGCGCACTGCAGAAAAATAATTTTAGGAGGGCTGGCTTGGGATGTCCATTTTCTTGGCACTCCCATCGACCCTCATGCATGAATGACCTCCTGCGGTCCTCTGAGATGGACACCAGTGGGTGTGGGACCACAGCCAGGAGGATACACTCGAAGGCTGGGTAAGCAGTAGAGGTCGCGATACTCGACGCGTCCCACATGGTCTGTGTCGCTGTCGGCACGCTGTCGACAGGACGTCGAGCGACACCGGTGGCAGTGCCACCCAGGAGTGGTCGGGCGGTCTCCCGTCATGAAAGAGCCACCATGTGGTCCGTATGATGATTCCTGACAACCGCTTCAGTCAACTTTTGTCACAGTTCCCGCTCTGAGAGGAGCTGCGGGTCAGCTCGACAGCTGGAGCTGTGTCGCCGGCGTGCGGCGGCCCTGGGGGGTCGACGGGCCCCCGGGGGCGACGGGGGTGCTCTCCGGCCGCGGCGGCCGAAAACGGGGGTCGGTATTACGGTGTATTTACGAAGTGATCCACTTGATCCAAGGGTGCCATTGTGCTCTACTACAAAAGTTGTGTAAGATGCCCAAGTCTCAGACGCTGGATCCTTAGCGGAGCTGAGTTCTGACGGTGTGAACACGAGCAACCGGAGTGACGACCGGGACCGGGCCGCACGCCGGGAGTGCCCCGACTAGCAGTGACGGGCGCGGACGAGCGAATGAGAGGTCGCTATCTGTGGAAGATGTGTTGTTAGGGACTAGGACTGCCTATCTCTCACTGAAAGGGACCTCTCATTCGCTCGTCCGCACCCGTCACCGCTCACGGAGTGCTCCGCGTGCCGCACCGGCCGCCGCCGGCCGCCGGCCGCTCACGGCAACGGAACAGTCTTACTACTCCGCAACGTTGAGCTGGATCATACTGAATAGTGCTCCTGAAAGCCCTCTCTCTGGGCTCTGCCACACAGTAGCAGCTCATGACGAGCAGCTGCTGTGACTGTATTTATGTAGCCATTTTTAGGCTTCAACTGGTCCCAAAATAGTAGCAACACCTCATGAAAATCAGTCCAAAAAGCCCCAAAAATCGGCGCCTGCGGCGGGCTACCTGGGGCGGCGCCCCAGACCCCCTTGCCTGGGGGGACCCCCCCCAAGAGCACCCCCGTCGCCCCCGGGGGGCCGTCGATCCCCCAGGGCGGCGGCCTGCCTCCGGAGGTGACGCTCAATCGCGCCTGCCAGCGCTGCCGTGCAGGCTGCCACGACGAGGTCGAGCACGCTTCTATACGCTCGCCGAGCCTTTCTTTCCATCCCATTAGGCAGCCTGGGAACGGTGACGGTCAGAGGCAAAGCCTACGAGGGGTGGTGGAACCACATGTCACGGCTACTGCCGGCTCGACCCCACGATAGCCTCCGAAGGCTGACTTTGAGGCACCATCATCGGACGATGTCGACGAGTTGGGTCGCTCTCGCGGTAGCCAGATGACCTTCCATGCTAGTACCATCGGCTAGGGCCGCAGGAAGCGCGGGGGAGGGCGCTGGGAGCAACACGGAGCTCCGTTGGACGTTTTCAAGATTATAGCGTGTGCGTGTCAGAGTGAAATGGAACTAGCCAGCCGCGTACACAAATTTTGGAACGTATGTACACTCTCTCACTCTGCCGCCCACTTTTGCTACTCGGGCTACTACTCCCCCTCTTCAGAGATCGCGTAAATGTTATGTTCGATCACGCCACACGTTCCCTCAACACTCTACAAAATATTCTCGGCAGCTGCGTGAGCCGTGACGAGGGTACACCTGGCGCCTCTCTCTCACCCTTCGAGCCGCACCTTTCCAACCGGCACGGCGGCCGCCGCATCGTAGGTCGGCAGCGTGAGGTCGTGATAGAGCTCCTGCTTGTGCCACGCGTGCGGAAGGTAGTAGCACTCCGCCGCCGACGCCGTCACGTTCGGCCGCCTCGGCGGCGCGCCCCGCGCCCGCTCCTTGGCGCCCGCCACGCCATCCATGTCTGGGCGCGACTTCCACGTCACGATGTTGACGCTGCGGCCGGCGGCGGCGATGCGCTGCTCGGCCTCTTCGGCGTCGAACACGGCCTAATGAGCTCATCCATTGGTCGCGGGTCACCAGAATGAGTGGCGAGGCGTCAGTCGGTGCGGCGTCGAAGAAGAGTCGGCCTCGCCGCTCACGCCGACCACGGCGTCGCCCGCGCGGAGGCCGGCGGACCACGCCGACGAGGAGCGCGCGACCTGTTCACAGCAGTTCACAGCAGAGCGGCATGAAGAGACGCCGTTCACGCGCTGCGCCCACGACTATACCTCGGCTGCATCGCTCCGCCTCGGCTGCATCTCGGCTGCATCTCGGCTTCGCCTCCGAGAGGACGGGCGGCGAGTGGCGAGGCCCGTCGCTGAGCCGCACGCCGAGCTTGCCCTCCTCGTCCTGTCCACAGCCGAGGCCAGGCGTGAAGAGGCGCTGCGTTCGGCCGCACGGAGTTCCGTCTCGCCCCCTTCGCGCTCCTTGCGCAGCGAGTGGGCCGTCGTGTAGCCCGACACGACCAGCTTCACCTCGCCTGCCGAGTCCTGCAGCCGGCGCGACAGCTGCTCGGCGCCTGAGACCACCCCGACGAGTCAGTGCTAGCCCCCCGCCCTCCCGCAGCGCAGCAGAGAGGCGGCGCCGTCCGTCACCAGCTTGCCGTTGACGGCGAGGAGCCGGTCCCCGGCGTTGAGCCCTCCGACGCCGCCGCCGTCGAGGAAGCGGGTGATGATGGCGCCTGCCGACGGCGAGGCGCGTGAAGAGAGTGCTACCCGCCGCCGCTGCCGAGGGAGCGCGTGGGGACGGCGCCGACGCCCGCGGGCGGGTCCGAGCAGAAGAGCTGCTGCGACTGGTGCTTCATGATGCAGACCTGCGTGCGCGGGCCGGGCGCGTGAAGGGACGGCGGTGGCAGGCGGGGTGCCCAAGCCTCGCGGCTGCGGGTCGCGAGTGAGTGAGTGAGTAGCCAGTGAGTCGTCCCGCCAGCTGGTGCTGCTGGCTGGTGCTGCCAGCTGGTGCTGCCGGCTGGTGCTGCCGGCTGGTGCTGCTGACCTCGCGGTTGTGCGTCACGAGCCGCATGGTCACTCGGCCATACGGAGCCTCGCGGAAGGCGCGCTGCGCAACCTGTTCACAGCTCGACGGCGTGGAGAGGCGCCATCCACGGCTGCCGTAGCAGGAGGAGGTCCCGCCGCTGCGCCACCGTCGCAGTGCGCAGGACGGTGTTGCCTGAGTACCGACCAAGAGACACTCATGATGGGGCTGGTCGACGCAGCAGGCGGTTGGAAGGCGGCGCTGCCGAGCGTCAGCACGACGTCGCCCGCGAGGAGGCCGACGGCGCGCGCCTGGTCGGGAAGGAGCGGTCGACCTCCTCGGCGACTCGGTGTCTAGTCTTGGTCCACCGCGGTGGTCCGCCCCCTGGCGAGCCGCGCGCCTCCTCGCCAGCCACCTCGAGCACCGTCACGCAGGGCAGGCCCGGCGCGGAGCCGAGGTCGATGCCTGCGCGGTGGGCCGACGAGGAGTGGCGGGCGGGGCTCGCTGGAGGAGGGCAGGATCCTCAGCCGAGGATGCCCCACGGGCGCGGGTACTGCGGCCGGACCTGCGGGGGGGGTAGGGCGGGGGCGGAGGCAGGGGGGGGGGGGGGGGGGAGGGCTCAGGCTTCAAAAACTCAGGCTTCAAAAACTGTTGGTTCAGGCTCAAGGGATGCAAACGGGGCACCCCCAAACTGTGGTGGGGCGAAAGGCAGGCACACAGCGGGACCCCCCTCCCAAAACGGGGCCTCGCTGCCGTCTCGAGGCTGCCTCTCTCGGGCCTCTCTTGGGCTGCTGCCCCCCCCCGTACGATCTCGGCGCGATCTCGGACCATGAAGATGAGGCGGTACCCTCCCCCGAGGTTGGAGCGAGTCACGTCGGGCGAGGCGACGTTCTCGATCGCGTCGACCCAGAGGCGCCGCTCCTCGGCCGACGAGGCCTGGAAGAAGTACGTGCGCGGCCGCGAGCGCGGAGTCACTTGGAACCCGAACCGGGCCTACCGAGAGGACATCCGAGAAGGCTCGGGGGAAGACTCACGCAGCGCGGTGTGGCACGGGAGGCGAGGCGAGCCTCCGCGCCGCGCCACTCCTCGGCACCGAGAGAGACGGTCGCGCCGCTCAGGTCCGAGATGCCGCGGTCGGTCGTGCCCGCGTTTGGACCGGGGTAGCCCCAGCGGAGCTCGCCTTTTGGAAGAGTGGGCGATTCGGGCGTCGGCGGGCTAGCTTGTGGGTTCGATTGAGGACGACTGCCTCTTTGAGGCCGGCTACTGTGCTTCTAATACGTGCTGTGCTGTGCGGTGCCCTGGGCTGTGAGTCTGAGGCTCGTAGGACGACCACTCGCCTTTGCCGCCCGCCCAGAGCTCGACCCAGCGAAGCTTAAAGATGGCGCCCATCTGGTCCGCCTTGTATAGCTCGCCGCGCAGCAGCGACGAGGGAGCGGCCATGCGAACGAGCTCTTCGCACTCTAGGGGTCGGAGCGATGTCTCGCTCCACTAGTACCTCGCTTTCGTACTCTGTTTGTCTTGCGGCGGCGCGGTCGGACGGGGAAGGAAGTGCAAAAGAATTCTTAAGATACAAGCCTCTCTCACAGCACACTGGCACGACAAGGGCGCAGACTGGCGCGGACTGGCACACACACAGGCTCACCACCGGAGCCGCCTAAGCGACTCCGTTAAGAACGGCAATGCACTCCGCACCATGCACAATGCCGCTCTCCCCGCACGCTAGCTCGTTCACCGTCTGCCACGCCACGGCGGTGTGGAGGACGACAGACAAGCGCTGCATCTGCAGCCCGTGCCAGTTCTTGGTGGTCCATGTGACCTCGTCCAGGTGCTGAGCGTGCGAAAGTTTGTTGCTCAGCTGGTTCGCCGCCTCCCTCACGAGCTCTCAAGATAGCGAACGGGAGCCCGAACAAAGCCGTTTGGAATGGAAGCTACAATGCAGTGTCTGGGGGGGGGGGGGGGGGGTGTTCCATTCCGTGTCCGGCCAAAGCGCCGCGCGCTGGCCAGGTACTTCCAGCCTGCTGTGGGAACAGCTGACGCAGTCTCGCCAAGGCTCGCCCCAGCATCTCGGGTTGACTCGGCCAGACTAAAACCCCGAGAGGCGTGGCAGTACACTGGGGAAAAGAGAAAAACATCGAGGCCAAAGGTCCGCCCACGGCCCCAGGCGCCAGGGCTCGTGGTGGGTGTGGGGTGTGCCTCGCGAGGCGGAGAGGCCGCGTGAACTCCCGTAGAAGCTCGCGAAGTGCGGATTTGGAGCGCGCGCGCCGGACCTCCGCCGGGGCCCGCCGGGGCGCCGTATGGGCCTCGGGGTGCCCGAGAAGCTTAGAGGTGCGGTTTTTTTGCTTGTGTCTATCGGTTCATGTCATGGACCGGCCCTGGGAAGCCTTTGACCGCGCGCGGAGGGTGTTACGGGGCCGTGATGATTTAGTGGGTTGGAAATCGGCCGATTTGCCCAGTGTGGATTGCACGAGATACCGCTGGATCAACTGGTAGGTGCTTAGCTTGAGCACTTGAGCACTGGATAGGGTCGGTTCCGCATGGTACGGGACCCCTCGATCGTCTCGCCCACCCTCACTGGTGTGTTCATTGGGGGGGGTCATAACAAACACGGTACAGGATCGAGGTGCACGCTGCTGAAGCAGTGTCGTCCCCCCTCTCCCCGACGGCGATGGCGGTGTGACCGATCGAGCTACAAGAGGAGCTTGTTCAGCAGGATCCGGGATAGTCTGGGTGGATGATAGCTGGTGTCCAAGTGGAACGTCGAAGTCGATGCCCGCAGATGCAAAGTTGTTGAGGCGGATCGTCGCCGCACTCTTGACCTCGGTCGGTATCGATGCTGACCGTGATGCCTTCGACATTGTCATTGAACTCGAACAACAAAACATTGAACTCGAGCACCATCTTGCCCTCGTCTCCGAGCTCAACATAAATCGCTGTGTGGAGGTTTTGGCGCCAGGGCGTTCCCGAGGAACGACCAGTAATCGAGCGGGTTCTGTTCTATCTAGATACGCCTTCTTCGAACAGGGTTCCAACTTTTTCCGGGGTATGGTATGGTAGGGTCGCGGCCCAAAGGGGTAGGGGGTATGGTCCTGCCCGCCCAAGACTAGCCCTACCATACCCCCAAGCAGGTCTGCCAGCAGGCGGGGGGGTATGGTCTTGAGCTGGCATGCGCGAGTATACCATACCATACCCCGAAAAAGTTGGAACCCAGGCTCACTGGCCCGGGAAGGGTTGGTGCTGCGGCCTCCGCAGCTCTCCTGACTCCGTGACTCGCCGTGCACGCACATGAGGCTTTCGGCCGGCCGCACCTACGCGCAGCGCCCCGCCGAGCAGCTAGTCGACTCGTCAGCCTGGCCGTCGCCAAACGTCCAGGCCTGGCCGACGTCCGGGCAGACCGCGATCCTCGTGCGTCTGCTGCAGGAGCGCGGCCTCAGTGCGGTGAGCATTGGCTGCGGCGAGGGCGCCTTTGAGGCGCAGCTCGAGGAAGCCGGCGTGCCTGTGCGCGGCGTAGACCTCGACGTGTTGCCATCATACAAAACCATGCGGTGCTTTCTGCGAGGCGGCATCATCCGCGTGCGTCCGGACGAACTCTTCCGCATCGACGAGCCTTCGCGCACGTGTCTCTGCTTCGTGTGGGGACGCGCGCTGCCCTGGCGCGAGTACCTGTCTTGCTACCCGCAAGTGCCGCTGGTTTGCATCATTGGCGAGTCGGCCAGTACTCCAGAGGAGTCGGTCGCCACCGTCCCGAGCAGCAACGCGCTGGAGGCAGACGCGAGCTGGAGCCGCCTTCACTGCGGGCCGGCTCGCGCCGTGCACGGAGGCGCTGTGATGTGTGTGTACGAGCGGGCGCCCGCCTCGCTGACGTCACTCGCCGCCGACGAGCTTCAGCTGATGCTGCCATGGTGGGGCCTGCGAGACGCTCGCGCCGCCGCTTGCTCCTGCCGCGTGATGCACTCTGCCCTCGGCGAGGCCGTCGCCGCGGCCGCCACAGTCGTCGCTCGGCTGGAGAGACTGAGCGCACAGATGTACTCGGCCCGGCTTCCCCGACCCGTGCAGGAGGCGAATGGGATGATGCCTCGCTTGCTCACCAGCGCCCTCGCGTTGGACGAAGAGGAGGCGCCGAAGCGCCTGCTGCCAGACGTCCGATTCGATCCGGACGGCTCCGCCCACGGCCGCTTCTCGAACACGTTTGCGGCGTCGTGGCTCGACTGGGGCTCGATGGGCCTCGCTGTCGACGAAGCTGCGACACTCTCGGAGGCGATGCGAACTGATTTGGCTGCCAATCACGACCTCGCCAACGCTCTGCTCCTGTTGAGCTTGAGCTGCAACCCCATTCGAGACGCGGGCGTGACGGCACTCGTGCAGGTTCTGCCCGAGCTGCACAGCTTGACTGCCCTGGAGATCGAGGACTGCCAGGTGGGCGACGCAGGCGCAGCGGCGCTCGCCGCCGCGCTCCTCGCCGAGCCGCGTGGTGGGACTGCCTTCAGAGGACGGCTGCGCCGCCTCTGCCTGGGATGCAATCCGATTGGTGACGACGGCTGCGTCGCGCTGGCGCGGGCGCTAACCGGCCCTCGCCTCCTCCACCCCACGCACGCGCGCGGGCTCGCAGTCTTGCAGCTCGGCGACACGGACGTGGGTGACGTGGGCGCGGAGGCGCTCGCCGGCGCGCTCGAGCAGGGAGCGATGCCGGACGGACTACAGCTCTGGCTCGCCTCCACTCGGGTCTCGCAGGCTGGGCGGGAGGGGCTTATGAGGGCTAGCGCGGCGCGTAGAGGCCTCCGAGTTTGCTGGTGAAACCTGTAATTTTTTCGTCTGAGTTCATCGACTCCGAAGCGAAAAATGCTCTACCAGAGCCCTATGTGCAGAGGGCAGTCGCTGTGCGGTGGCGCGGCGTGCGCGATTTCAGGATCGAGTCACGCGCGCACTCAAGTGACCCGCCACCGCGCGTCTCTCGAACCGCGCGCGCCGCCACGCGACTGGAGCGCCACATACGCCGCCTCGCCGTCTCGTTGCTCATCCCTCATCGCTGCCAGAAGGGCTTGTTCTTCTTCGATTTCTCGGCCGCGAGCGCCGCCTGAGGCACACGTGCCATGGACGTGTCATGGCGACGCAAGCTAGCTTCCCTGAAAGAGGCGCAGCCGCCTCGAGCTCCCTCTGCTTGCGCTTGCGCTTGGCGTCCGGCGTCACCGCCCAGTCCGGGTCCTGACCGCCGCGCAGCTCCGACCTACACGTCGTGTGGACGCGTCATTGGACGTAGCCGCACCACTCAAGCTACGGGCAGGCTTGTCACTTGAGCTCGTCATCCGCGGCGTTAGAGATGAGCTTCTGGACTGTGACGATGCCGATGTAGGGCGAGACGATGACAGCGCCGGCAATGACCGCCGTCGCCACCTTGGCCGCCTCCTCCTCGTCGTCGGAAATCGCTGTCAACAGGCTCGCCCGGCCCGCGGCGCCGGCATCCAGTGGCCGCGCCAGCGCCGCCGTCGGAAGCGCCACCGCGCCAAGCGCCGCACCTAGCACTGACGGAAGGGCGGCGCGGCGGCCAAGAAGCATGGTAGCCGAAGGCGTAGTGGCAGGCAGGGCCGTGAGGGCCGAGACAGCGACGAGGAAGCCGACGTACAAGAACATATGAGGGAGAGTAGGTGTCCTTTGCGTGCCCGCCGAGGAAAAATTCTTACAAGTCAAGCCTCTCTCACAGCACACTGGCACGACAAGGAAGAAAACAAAACTCGAATTCGGTGGTGGCGGGCTCCCGCTTTGACCACTGGCCGCTCTCGGGCCACTGCATCACATTGGACTCCGAGTACGAGAAGATGATGGCAGACTACCTCCAGGCCGCCCACGTGCAGGAGGTGGTCGACATCCTGCTCGAGCTCGACAACACATCGTCGCGCCACTACTCGATCGCGATCAGGCGCGCACTCAGCCCCCCGCGTTGCGCCCGCCCGACGCCTCCGCCGCAGCGCTCGCCGCTTTCGGAGCCACATCGCATATTGCCCACGCACTCGCGTCTGGCTAACGTATCTCTATCTCGCCAAACGCGAGCGTTTTTCTAGTGCCCGGGAGAATGACAGTGACGTAGTAGTGCCTGCCGCGCGGCCGCAAGGGAGGGGGTGGGGGGAGTGAGATTTCGCTGCCTGGCCGCCCCTATAACAGGGGACTAGTAGTAGGGTGCGTAGGGCGCGCGGCGACTAAAAGGCGGCGGCTGAACTTGGACTTGGCAAAATCGCACGGCGTCGTGACTGGCCCCTTCTTGATTTTTGACCAGGCGAACGGTCCGCCGCACTTCACCGCCTTTTCTCCAGCCTTCTTGCCGACCCAGACCTCGAAGTCCTCAAGATACTTCTTCGCCTTTGACGGCTTGTTATTGGTGTCCCGGGTGACGGTCACGGAGCGGACGGGCTGCTGATTTTCCAGGGTGACCTAACGTGCGCGGGAGGAGCCAACTATAGCGCCAAAAAGGGGAGAGGGCGAGGAACGCCGGGGTGCCTTGGCGGAGAACCACGGGTTCTTCCTGTTCTTCTTGCTTTTGCCAAAGGTCTTGCTTTTGCCATCGGTCACCTTGGCCAAGAACTGCGGGCACGAGGCGAGGGGGTGAGAGACACACACATGGTATCAGACGCTTTGTATGGAGCGCGGGGGCGGGTGCGTGCACCCGCTTGGCGAAAGTAGCAGAGCCAGCCGACGTTCGCGGGTTGCTTAGCAAAAGTGGACCCGCTGGAGGCGGTGGGAGCGGGCTCGGAGGCGGAAGTGGCAGCGGACTTGGTGGCGGCGGCACAGGCGCCTGGCCAGGTGGATGCGGTGGTCGCGGGGGTGGTCGCGGGGGCGAAGGGCACTCGAGCGAGCCCCACGAGTAGGTCCAGGCGCTCGTCTGAGCGTCGAAGCCGGCGTGGATGAGCGCCTTGTTGCAGTCGCTGAGGGAGGAGGCGCCGTAGAACATGCCGCTCATTTCTGTGGCCGCCGACACATCCCACGCCCCGATGTCCTGGTCGAAGGAGGAGGTCTCGAAGAACATGCCCCGCATGTTGGTGGCCGCCGACACGTCCCACGACCCGATGTCCTGGTCGAAGGAGGAGGCGCTGTCGAACATGGATTTCATATTGGAAACCGCTGACGTGTCCCACGCCGAGATGTCGGGGTTGCACGTGTCCTTGCCGGTGGTGGAGCCGCCGCCGTTGCACCACGACCAAGCGCTGAACAGACACTGCATGTCGGTGATCGCGCTCACGTCCCAGCCCGAGATGTCGCCGTATGTCGCGCGGGCGGCCGCCTCATCGCTGCACCAAAGGTCGACCGCGGCCTGCAGGGCCGGCTTGTCAGCGAAGGTGCCCAGGGTCGGCGGCGAAGAAGGAGGGGGCGAGGGCGGCGGCGGCCGCGGCGGCAGCGGCGGCAGTGGTGACGGCGACGGGGAGGGCGGGGAGGGTGGTTGATTGCTCAGCGCCGCAGCGGCCGCCTGGAAGCCGGGCACGGAGCTGGCGAGCGAGGATGCGAGCATGTCCCACTTGGGCTGGTTTACCGAGTTGTAGAGGCCGCCGGTGTCGAACGAGTTGTCGTTGAGCGACCAGTAAAAGTGCCCCAAGCCGCGATCGATGAGGTACTCCTGCATCCGCTCCTGCCACGGCCCTGTGTCGTCCCACAGGCCGCCCCACTCCCCGAGCACCACCGGGGTGCCCTCCTCGGACGGGATCAGTCCCCAATGCGTGTCCCACACCTCGGGCGTCCCTGGGTGGTTCGGGTTCTTCGAGTCATCGCCGTAGGCGTGCGGCGACAGCACCAGCTTGCTCGCGTCCGAGAGCTCGATCGGGTGAGCACGGTGCGGGTGGACGGCCTCGCCCCACCAGCACGTGTGGCCACTGTGTAGCCCCGACGGGTGGTTGCGGCACCACCCGCCATTGTTGGCGATGCCTTGCACGAAGATGAGCCACCGCGGGCAGCGAGCGAGCACGTGGTTGCCGAGGCGCTCGGCAGCTAGGTCCCAGTCTGTCATGCGGTCGCCGCTGCCCCAGGTGGCGCCAAAGGGCTCGTTGTAGAGGTCGGCGGCGATAACGTTAGGAGATGCACAGTACCGCGTCACGAGCGAGCTCCACGCGTCGAAGAGTGGCTCCTCGTCCTCGCTGCTGCAGCCACCCTCCACGCTCTGGCACCACAGGGCGCTGTTGGTGTCTGTGGCGATGACGTGGATTCCGAGCATCACGTAGATGCCAGCGTCCTGAAGCCGGCGCACGAGGTCATCCAGCGCCGCCAGGCTGCGGAGCCCCTCCCACTCCCTCCCGCACGAGCCCGTCAGGGTCGGATTAGAGGCAACGTGCTCCACCGAGAGCGGCAGCCGAACGCTGTTGAAGCCGTGCCGCGTGAGGAAGGCGATGTAGTCGTCCACCGCGTAACCCAGGTTTGCCCACCCCTTGTAGAGCTCGTGCACACACGCGGTGTCGCTCTGGAATCCAAACCAGGACGCGCCCTTCAGGAGCAGCTCCTGCCGCCAGTGGCGCGCGCTCAGCGGCTCAAGCCACAGTCTTCCGCCGTCGCCGAGCACCTCGAAGGGCGTGGAGAAGTTGGCGGCCGGGTCAGAGGCCCAGGCCACGGCAGGGTACGGCGGCGGTGACGGAGAGGGGGGGGACGTCACGGCAGCGCGGCCAGCTGTGCCCCCGATAAGCGAGCGCGAAACATACGGCGGTAATATAAGGAACTGCCCGCCGTTCCTTCTATTCCAGCTGCGCACCTTTTTCTTTTTGAAGCCTAAAAAAAGCGCTCGGTCCGGTTCCCGCTTTGACTGGCGGCGGAGTGCACCGCGGCAGCGCGTCGCGCGTCGGGCCATGCACTGCATCTTCGACGTGGCCGTCACATTGGACTCCGAGTACGAGAAGATGATGGCAGAGTACCTCCAGGCCGCCCACGTGCAGGAGGTGGTCGACATCCTGCTCGAGCTCGACAACACATCGTCGCGCCACTACTCGATCGCGATCAGGCGCGCACTCAGCCCCCCGCGTTGCGCCCGCCCGACGCCTCCGCCGCAGCGCTCGCCGCTTTCGGAGCCTTCGCCGCCGCCGCCGCTGCTCAGCCACGGCGACGGACCGCGCTCCGCAGCTTGCACGACGTGCTGGACTGGGACGGCGCGCGAGGCGCGTGGCTCGGCACCTTCCTCGTGCACGAGCCGAGCCGCGCGCTTCCCCTCTTCGAGGAGGCGATCCGTGCCGTCCAGCGCTCCGTCATGGCGGCGCACGAGGACGGCCACTTCATGTCGGTCAAGCCGTCGGTCCACGTGCGCCGCCCGCGCTCGCCCCAACCGCCCCTCACCCGATAACACACCGCCAAGAGTCTCCCGAGATCCCCATATCGTCCGATGCCCCCAGGCGCGGCTCTACCGGCTCCCCCACTGCACCGAGCTGCGCAAGCTCAACGTCTCCTCGCTGCGAGCCGACGACTCCAACTGCCTCATCCAGGTGCCGGGCACGGTGATTCGCACGGGGTCAGCTCGAGCCTGCAGCTGGCCGAGCGAGGGCGAGATCGGCCGAGATCAGCCGAGATTAGCCCGAGCTGTAGGCAACTCAAGATGCTGCAGCTGTCGCGCGAGTACGAGTGCGCCAAGTGCAAGTTCCGGCGCAGCGCGAGGGCGGCAGCTCGAGCGGTGGCGTGTGGACGGCGCGGCTTCACAGCACGCTGTGGACAGGCACACGGTGCGGGCGGAGCTCGAGGAGCGGCACCAGATGTCGCTGCCCGCCGAGTGCACCGCCTCGGGGGGGACGGGCAAGCCCTGCGGCGGCACCAAGTCCGCAGCGCCGACGGCCCGCGAGAGGCCCGTGAGAGGAGTGGCGAGTGGCCGTGATCGGAGGCCTCTGGTTGCGAGTCACAGGTTCGAGCTCGTCGACGGGAGCGAGGAGTGCCACGACTACCAGGAGGTGCGCATCCAGGAGCAGGTGCGTGCGCCGGCTCTAGTGGACAGCGCTAGAGCGAGTGGGCGGGATGCGAGTCGTGAGTGGTTGGCTCGGGCCGAGTCAGGCGCCTCATCGAGTCGGGCGCACTTGTCAGGCACACTTGTCCGGCGCACTTGTCAGGCGCACTTGTCAGGTGCACCGGTTGCTCGTCGGCTCGATCCCGCGCTCGATCACGCTGCTGCTGCAGGACGGCTTCTCTGCGCCAAGCGGTGGACGCCGCGACTCTCGCTCACGAGTGGACGGCCGGTGACAGGACGACCTCATCGACGCGTGCAAGCCCGGCGACGACATCACCGTCGTCGGCACTCTGCGCAAGCGCTGGCGGCCCCTCTCGCGCGGGAACAGGCCCGACGCGGAGCTCGCCATCGACGCGCTGCACGTGCACGTCCACAACGATGAGGTGCATGCCCGCCCGTGTACTCCCAGCAGTACGAGGGGGCCTCAAGAGGAGTAGCGATGAGGCTGGCTCGGCGAGCGCCTCGAGGGAGCCTGCGTGGGCGCCAGAGGACTGTCTGAGGACCGTCTGAGGACTGTGTGAGGACTGTGTGAGGACTGTGTGATGACTGTGTGGCGAGCGGTGGGTCAGGTTGGCTCGGCGCGCGTCTCGAGGGAGCTCGGCGCGGAGTTCGAGGCGTGGTGGCGGGCGAGGCGCGAGGCGGGCATGCCCCTCAAGGCGCACGGGGGCGAGACTGCTGGACGGAGACCGGCCGAGACGGACTCACCAGTCACACACCTTCCCGCTCAAGGCGCGAGACGAGATCGTCGCGATGGCGTGCCCGTCGCTCGCAGGCACGTCCCATGTCCACCGGAGCCGCCACCTCGGCCGCACCTCGGCCGCACCTCGGCACCTCGGCCGCACCTCGCCTCGGGATATCGGCGGCAGGCATGCACCTCGTCGCTCGGCCTCCTCCTCACCCTCACACGATTAGTGAATCAGCCGGCTACCTCACAGGCATGTACCTCGTCAAGCTCGGCCTCCTCCTCACCCTCATCGGCGGCGTCTCACACACCGACGCGAGCAGCATGCGCGTGCGGGGAGAGTCTCACCTGCTGCTCGTCGGCGACGCGGGCACCGGCAAGTCGGCGCTGCTGCGCCACGCCGCGCGCCTCTCGCCGCGCTCCGTCCTCACCACCGGCATCGGCGCCACGTCGGCGGGGCTCACTTGCACCGCCATCCGCGAGCCTGGAGGCGGGCGGGGCGGCTCGAGGAGACGCGAGATGGCGCGGGGTGGCGCGAGACGGCCCGAGGCTGCGGCGAGTAGGCGAGTGGATGCTCGAGGCGGGGGCGCTGGTGCTCGCCGACGGGGGCGTGTGTGCGATCGACGAGTTCGACTCGATCCGCGAGCACGACCGCGGCGCGATCCACGAGGCGATGGAGCAGCAGACGCTGTCCGTCGCAAAGGCGGGAGATAGGGGGAGATATGGGGAGATATGGGGAGACACTGTCCGTCGCAAAGGCGACCGCCTCGCGTGCACGCTGCGCGCTGGACCCTACGAGATCGGCCAGGGATGAGCCGGGGTGCGGCGTGCGGCTAGGCGGGCCTGGTCTGCAAGCTGCGCACAAAGTGTTCCGTCTTTGCCGCGTGCAACCCAAAGGGCAAGGGGTGCGAGCTGTAGCTGAGATCGAGACCGAGCCGAGATGCAGCTGAGATCGGGCCGAGATCGGCCGCGACCACGCCGCGCAGGTACGACCACGACCGCTCGATCTCTGTCAACACGGGCCTGCCCTCGCCCCTCCTCTCGCGCTTCGACGTGGTGCTCCTTCTCCTCGACAAGAGCCGCGCCGGCGGAGGGCGCAGCGAGGAGCACGACCGCGACGTGGCGCAGCACGGAGCTGCTGGCGCGCGGAGCCAGGGCTGAGAGCAGTGTCTCTTCACACCTCGCGGCGTGAGCAGGCGCAGCACATCTTGCGCGAGGCGTGCGGCGAGGAGGGGCCGCCGCCGGAGCCAGACGCAGCGACGTGGCCGCTCGAGAAGATGCGCGCGTACGTCGAGTTCGTGCGCGGCTCCTTCCGGCCGTCTGTCACGCCGCCAGCGCAGCGCGCGATCGTGGCGTACTACTCGCACCAGCGGCAGGCCGACACGACGAGCGAGGCGCGCACGACGATCCGGCTGCTCGAGTCCGCGGTCCGGCTCGCACAGGCGCACGCGCGGCTCATGTTCCGCGAGGAGGTGACCCTGCTCGACGCGATCTACGTCATCGTCGTACTCGAGTCGTCGACGCTCCACTCGCGCCTCGCGGGCGGGAGCATCTGCGCGCTCACGTCGATGTTCGACGAGACGCCCGACGCGACCTACCCGCTGCTGCGTGATAAAATCCTCGACTCGCTCGGCATCGACGCCGAGGGGAGGCCGCTCCGGCAAGAGGGAGGGGGAGGGTACCCGGGAGAACGCCTGGGCGGGTACATGTGAAGTACACTGCCTTCCGCCTTCTTGGACTTGGTCGCATCTCGCATGTCTCCACGTGATTGTGCACAATCGTTCAAATATTCTTTACGTGTGACGGCGGAGTTGACGCCTCCGACGGTCGTAGCGGCGTGGCTGAGGGCGGCGGTGGAGGCGCCCGATAGCGCGGTGAGGATGGTCTCATGGGTCTAGCAAACCATAGACGACACCAAGAGAACGCGAGGTAAAACCCGACGGCTATGGATGGTAAAAGGCGGCGGTAAAACCCATCCACACGGGTTTCGGTGGGTTGGATGGGAGGTAGAATGTCTACCTACCGCACCCCCCCCAATGTCGCTGGGCGGGATCGGCCCGCAGAGGCGGCATTGATCAGTTCCCCCCATGCACCGCGCGAGCTCGCGCGTTGGAGGCGTGGTCGACGCTGCGCTTGAGCTTCTCCTTGGGGACCCATTTCGTCAAGAAATCGGCGGGCATGAGGTCGTCGGTGATCTTGACGACGCGGCACTCGCCGTCGGCCATGCGGCGCTGCAGCGTGTGGTAGCGGCGCAGGAAGTGGCGCGAGCGCGAGGCGGATTTGGCGTTGTTGGCGACGAGGACGTTTGCCTTGTTGTCCGAGAGGATGACGGTCGGTCCGGTCGGCGGGGCGCCGAGGGCGACGAGGACCTCGCGGGCGTATGCGACGAGCTCGCCCGCTTTGGCGCTGGCGATGGCCTCGCTCTCGTGTGAGGAGTCGACGACGAGGCCGATCTTCTTGACGCTGTGCATGACGGCAGCGCCAAAGCAGGTGAGCAGCATGCCATAGAGGTCGAGGTCGCCGTTCCAGGTGGCGTCGGCGGCGGCGACGAGCTCGGTGGGCGCGTGCGAGTCGAGCCCGGCGATGTGCGCGCTCATGCGGCCCTGCAACTCGGCCTCCGCGTCTAGCCCGCCGTACGTGATGCCGTCGTGCTTGCGGTCGTAGGCGGTGCAGAGCGCGGCGCGCGCTACCTCGTAGGCCTCGGGCGGCGGCGCCGACATGACGCACGAGAGGCGGTGGAGGACGAGGGAGAGTCGCGGCTGCACGCGCTCGACGAATTTGAGGTGGCCGATGATGCTCTGTGTGCGCACTTGCTGGGGCGACAGCTTGCCGTCGCGGTCGGCGAGCTTGAGCGAGTCGGCGGCGTCGGCGAGGCGCTTGCCGCTGAGGACGGTCGGACGCTCGCCGCGGAGGAGCTCGGGCATGTGCTCGCGTGCGGCCTCGATGATCTTCTGCGGCATGGACAGCGTGAGGGTGCGCCGCTCGCGGTCGCGCTCGAGCTTGAAGCCGGCGAAGGAGGTGGGCGAGTAGTCGACCTTGACCTCGTCGTTGAAAGCGGCCTTCAGCGCGGCGATGGTGGCGTCGGTGATGGTGGTGCCGTTCACCTCGGAGATGAGGAAGTCGTCGACGATCGTGATCATGCGGGCCTCTCCGTGCTCCCCATGGAACGAGAACATCGCGGGGACACCCGGGCACGGCACCCACCCTAGGCCTTTGATGGTGTCATTGAACGTGCACTCCCACTCGTAGCCAGCGCACTCCTCGCCCCAGAGAGGTGAACAGAGCTCGATGCACAGCTCGGTCCCGTCCTCGTCGGTCATGGGTAGCGTGGACGGGAGCGCCATGTAGCCGACGGGCCCCTGTCGCTTGCCCTTGACATAGGCGTTCCCGACGTCTCCCTTGGTCAGGTGGGCATCGACGGCGGCGGCGTGTCCGACGAACAGCTTGGCGGTCAAGTCGTCGACAACGGTAGAGGTAGCCGGGACGCCCGACGGTGGTAGGCCGGCGCGGGCGCGTTGGACCTTGGCGAAGCCGCCGTCGGCGGAGTGCCGTGACTTGAACGGGTCGTGTTGGTCGAGGCCTCCGGTCGCCTGGTCGATCTTGATCTTGCGCGCTGTGACGCAGCGCTGGATCGGCACGCCCGCGGCCGCGGGGACGGTGACGGGCACGAGGCGGTTGCCGGGGACACGGAGGATGCAGTCGAGGGCCTTGCGGTCGGCGGCCTCCCATTGCGTCCGCTCGGGCGATTCGCGCAGCTCCTTCTTGTTGGCGGGTACGCGGAAGATCTGCTTCACGCCGAGCGGCGTGACGACGTCGACGAGGCGCTGCGTCGCCTTGAGGCACTCGGCTGGCATTGGGGCGCCGGCGGCATGGCGGGAGAGGGCGCGGAGGCACTCGGCTGAGGCGGGGCTGCCGGCGGCCTTGTGGAGACAGGTGCGGCTGGTGTCGAGGCGCTCGGCGGACGCGCACTCGAAGGGCGCGGCGCCGTCGCCGAGGATGGCGTACAGCGCAGCGTTGTAGGCGTCGACGTGCGTGCCGCTGGTGGTGCACTCGAGGGCCGCCTCGGCGACGCTGGCGGCGCGCTGGAGGCGGGCCTGGTAGCGGCGTCAGCAGCGGCGGCGGCGGCGGCGGCTCGGGCAGCGGCTGCAGCGTTGGCGTCGGCGGCGTTGGTCTCGGCGCGTCCGCTGCTGACGAGGCTGGCGATGTAGCCGCTGTATGCGTCAAAGGAGCGCCACGGGGACCAGTTCGTGTACCGCCACTCGTTGATCTTGTCCTCGATAGCCTCCCGCTTGCCGCTCAGCTCGGCGGGGAGCTTGTCGGCGATGGCGCGGTAGACGTCGAGCGTATTGCGGCAGCGGTCGCTGAGCATGCCGAACTCGCTGGCGATCTGCGTGACGGCGAGCAGCGCCTCGTCGTTGCCCATGCCCATGAAGAGGGGCTTGCTGTCGTCGAAGGCTTGCTCGGCCTGCGTCATGGCGGCGCCTGGCTCGTGGCGTGCGAGGGCGGCGATGCGGAGGAGCGTGGTGACGCCTTGTGCCTCGGCATACAGGTCGTTGCTCTCGGGGCGGCGTAAGAAGAGCTCGACGGCGGCGGCGGAGCGGTCGAGGCAGCTGCCGATGGCGTCAGCGAGCCACGTGTCGGCCTCGAGCAGAGCGCTGTCGCCTGCTGCGATGTCGGCGACGAGCTGGCTGCGAGTCCCGCTGGCCCAGGCGCGAAGTTCGTTGGCGACGGCGGTGAGGACACGATCCGCTGTGATCCCCGGACCTGGTCGGGAGAGGTGATCCGATTGGTGGTGGGGCGGCTGGTGGCATGCAGCTTCGCGGCAGCTGCGCTGTGGCACGCTGAGTTGTGGCCGCTCACTTGCGTGCCAATGTTTGCTCACTTGCGCACCGAAGCGTGGAGGGTTGGCGGCGACGGTGGCTGCGTGCCACCCTTTGCGCTCGAACAGCTGTCGCGCGAGAGGCTGTCGCTGATCGGCACGCCCTCGGGCTTTGCCTCTCTCTCCCTCGTCTTCACTGACCTCGACGCGGGCGGCGACGGCGGCGACGGCGGTGCTACTGTCGCGCTGCGGCGTCGACGTTTTGATCGCCGTGTCGTCTACGCGCGAGGGCACGGGAGCAGGCTCAGAGGACGCGACCGATTGTCCGAGTGGCCGACGTGCGTTCGCTCGATCGCCGTGTCTGCAGTGCAGGCGGTGCTATTCTCATGTCCTCTAAGCTGCACTCAGCCCCCATCTAAGCCCGCACGTGGGTGAGGGGGCTGCCACCATGGTGGCTGCCGCCCCGGAGACGGCTCAACGCCCCTCTCCCTTTGCGCAGGAGACGCTGCGGGCACGCCGCGCCGCGGCGGGCGCGGGCGGCGCATCGGCAGCCACTAGCTTTGCCGCCGACGGTGTCGCTTCGGTGTGCGGCGGAGCTGCACGCGGCGACGCGGCGCACGAGCTACTGCGTCATTGGCTCCCGCTTCTCTCGGGCCATTACGAGTTCCGACATTTGGACGCCGCTGCATCTACGGGGCTTCCAAGCCGCAGGGAAGCGCTGGTGGGGCTGGAGCTGAGGACGCTAGTCTGTGGCTCTTCAAACGCCGTGGCGGGTGTCGCAGAGGGCGGTAACGACGCCGCCGGTGGGTCGGATCATCGCGCGGTTGCGGCGGTGCGAGTAGCCGCTTGTAGCTCGGCAGATAGCCAGTCTTGTGCCGCCCTCCGAGTCCACCTTTCCCCGTGGCGTGGCTCCGAGCCGCTCCTGACGTGTCCCTATTCGTTGATCCTATTCGTTGATCCCGTAGGTGCGAGTGGACGGCGCACCGCCGCAGTGCGGTAGCGATGCACTGGTTGCAACCGGCGCGGCGCTGGCTGCTCCAGCCAACCTCTCTGCCTACTGGGGCGGGGCCAATCACGCGCGGGCCATCGAGGCGGCTTGGTGCGCGCAGCTACGCGGCGGCGTGACCGTGAGGTGAGTGCACACAAGCGCGGGCGACGGCGGACGCCGCGGGACGGGGTGTGTCGGCGGTCTCGCGCTGCAACACGGCCAGCGTTAAAGCGTACATGTCTTGTACCCGATCTCAGAAATAAACACGTCGACGCGATTGGCGTCTGCACGCCCCCCCCCACACCCACCCTTCCATGCGCGCTCCCCCACCGTGTCTCCCCCGACGTCCTCTACCCCGGTGCTCAGCTCCACTCGTCGCAGCCGCCCCAGTCGCAGCCGCCCCAGCCGTTCATGTACTTGCCATCGGTGAACCCTTCCCAGTCGCAGTGCGGCTTCTGCTGGGTGGACGGCGATCCCGTTGAGTCGGTGTACGAGACGTCGACGAGAGAGAAGTTGCAGCCGCGGAAGACCTCGGATTCGGCGATGTTTGCTACTCCATCCTTGGGATAAGGAGAGAACGCCACTGTCGGATTCGGGAGGGCGCTCGCCGCCGCATTCCACTGGGTCTGATAGTCGAGAGCAGCGTCCCACGAATTTTCGCAGTACCCGCTCGAGTACCAATCATCGCAAAGGGCGCCGTCGCAGCTGCTCGAGCAGCCCGAGTCCGCGCCCACGAAGCTAAACTTGGAGTTGGCGTCGGTGGGGCCGCAGCGGCGGCGGCCGTTCGTTTCCGAGGGCGTGAAGATGGACAAGTCGTTGCAGTCATTCTCGCCGCAGTCCTTGCTCTTCTTGTGGCGGCGGCGGGAGCTGCCGCCCGTGCAGAAGAGGTTGCAGTCGCTGTCGCAGTCAGCGTCGCAGCTCCGCGAGGAGAAGAGGTGGCGGCCGTAGTTGTCCTTCGAGGCGTCCTTCTGGATGCAGAGGCTGTCCTGGCACGATAAGTCGCCGTCGGCGCAGTCCGACGGCGTGCACGCCTCGTCGCAGCCCTTGTTCGGGCCCATGCACGCGCCGTCGTCGTAGAAGGGCGGCGTGCCCTGGCAGTCGTCGGAGTCGCAGCCCACCCGCAGCAGGGTGGTCGAGGCGCAGCCTGAATCTGTAATAGAATCCGGGCAGAGCCCTTCTCCGTAGGGCTGGTAATCGACGGCCAGGGTGAACGCGCCGCACGGGATGTCTTCGGAGTCGCAGTCGCTGAACGTGCCGGTCTCCGACCTGCTGCAGTACGCAGGGTCGTACCCGTCCGCGAACTCGTGGCTGGGGGCCGAGCCAGGACACGCTTCGGGGTCGTAGCAGATCGTGTCGCACGACTGGCCCGTCCAGTCTGACGAATAATCCCCGACGACGGCCGGGTACGCCGCGTCGCAGTTGGACTGGCACGCCGAGAAAGCCGAGCTGCAACTGACTGTGGCGTAACGCGACGTGAACTGAATAACATCCTCCGAAGACTCAAACTCGCGGGCGCACGCGTCAAGCCGCCGCCTTACGCCCAGCCGGCGCCGCTGCTCCGCCTCGTTCGAGAGGGCCGCGATCGCCTCGTCCGCCCTCGCCATGTACTCCTCCACCTCCTTCTCGCTGCCGACAGAGATGGAGGCGCAGACGGCGTCCCCTTCGCAGATGTCCGAGGCGAGGCTTCCTGAAGGGCGAGGCGGGGAAAGACTGGTGGCGGGAGGGGTCGGGCGGGGGGGGGGCGGGTTTGGTGGTGGTGATCGGGGCTGGCAGGCGCGCACCGTTGACGTAGTTGAGCTGGGCGACGCCGTCCTGGATGAGGAGAATGGTGTTGTCGAGGTTGTGAAAGACGAAGACTGCGTGCGTCTCCGAGTACCTATGTTCGGGCGAGAGGGGCTGTGAGGGCGAGGGGGCGGCGGCGTAGAGGGAAGGCACGGGCGGAAGCGGACCACTTCACTTCCATCACATGGTACGAAACCTTCACCGTTGCCCCGTTCTCGGGAAGCGTCAGGTCCACGGCCACCGTCCTCTTGAGCATGTCAAAGCCCATGGCGGGCGCCGCGTACAGCGGCAGGTGGAAGAGCGCGGGCCCGGTGCGCACGACGTCGCCGTTGAGGTCGACGAGGTAAGCGTGGTCCGCGTGCGTCTCCTTGGCGATCTCGGCGGCGCCAATCGCGAGTCCGAAGAGCGAGGCGCCGAGCAACGCAATGAACAGCACCGCCGCAAGCAGCGCCTTGCGCAGCCAATCGCGCTGCTCCTTGATCTCGCGCTTCTCGCGCTCCTCCTTGCCCTGCGCGCGCGGGGGGGGGGGGGGGGGGTCCTTTATGCAACCGGGGATGGGGGGGGGCCGGCAAAAGGGCTTGGGGCAACGGCCCCCCCGGGCCTCCGCCATTTTCAGGAGGTTACCAGGGTCGAGGGGGTTGTTTCCCTCTTTTTCGGACCCCTTGGGCCTCTCCCGCGGGGAGCGGAAACTGACACTCCTCTTGGAAAGGGTCAACTCCCCCAGGTTGACCCCCGCCCCCCCCGCGGGATTTTGGCGGTGAAGCGGGCCAACACCTTTAAAGCGGCTCATATGAACCCCCACCCGCTTTCTTGGAGGGGCTCCTAAAATTACCCCAACTTGGGGAAAAAGGGCCCGAAGCCCGTTGCTCCCTGTCCGCGGGTTCCGAACCCGAAGTGCCCGGAACCCCCCCTTTCCGCCAAGGCTGTGGCTCATGCCAAGGCGAACCCATGGGTAGCAAGGCAGCCTACGGGCCACACCCAAACCGGAACGCGCTCCGTTTGATCCCCCCAAACCCCCGGGCGGGGGTTCCCCCCCTCACGGGGGCCCCCCTGCCCTGGGGGGGAGGGAACCCGAAGAGCCCCCGCGAAACTGCGTCAGCGGTTCCCACAACAGGGTGGAAATGAATCCCCAGTCGCCCCCCCCCCCCCCCCCCAGTAGGTTACTCAGATCTCAGTCTCCCAGCTGCTGCCAGGTGCCAGCCGTCGGCAAGCAAGCGGCGGTGAAGCCTGGTCCATGGCCGGGCAGGCGCGCCGCAGGCGAAGCGCTCTTGCGCCTTCTTTCGTCCCTCGAGCCCTTCACGTTCACGGGCGTAATGATACAGTCTGTTGCGGGCATTAAGAAAACAGGATCCCGCGGCACGCCGCCGTTTCTAAGCCTTTCCACACACCCCACACACCCCACGCCGTGGTTTCTTAGCCTCGGCCGGCACCCCACAGGTGAGTGAGACGGGATCTAGGAATGTTTAGGTAAAATGACAATACGGAAGCGCTGGACCGCTCCGGATGTCGCCAGTCCGACTTCTGCCACCCACTTGGGATGACAGGAAGACGCACACACCTCCCATCCACACCGCCCAGAACACCGCAGACTTGCTTGGGCAAAATGTGACCCGAGCCGCCGGGTGCCCGCAGCGGCCTCGCTGGACCAGAAGAACCGGTCCGCGAGTGCTCCGCAGCAGCCTCGCTGAGCCAGAACGTCGGCTCGCGAGGTGGGGTGCTAGTATGAGCCCGACCCAGGTCGTAGTGTTCTTGCTCCCAGCGCTTGCGCTTCGGCGGTTAGTGGTGCACTAACCTCCGAGAAACCCTTCGGGTCGCTCCTCATCGCAAACCCTGTCAGCAGAGTCTCCTACGGGAATGTACGTAAGAGCTACATACACTGAAAATGACAAGTGCGCGCGCCGCAGGCGAAGAGAAATTTTGAGCGGGGCTCCTGTTCACACTCGTGTGTGGGCCCTTTCTCGGGGCCGCGCCTGCGGGGCGCCGCGGTTTCTTAGATTTTCGCGGAAATCGCTCGGCGTGGTTTCTTATAATGGTACGTTTTCTTAATGCCCGCAACAGACTGAAGGCGAGACGGCGTCAATTCCGACTGCGTCAATTCCCTATTTCCGTCGCCGTGCCTCCTGCTGTGGTCTGTGGAGAGGGGTAAAAATGCCACAGTAAACGCGGGAGCTATCATTACGGAAAGACGTACAACGCGTGGGAGATGTTCACCGGGGAGACGGGCAACAGAGACACGCGCCGGGGAGAGACATCTCGGCCTACATCTCGGCTACTTTGCGGATCTGTATCAACTACGCGGCAAGCTCCTCAGGTGGGCGAGGAGCAGGTGCTGCTCGAAGTGCACCAGGCGAGTCGCCGCCTCCTCGGCCGCCGAGAGCAAACCGCCCTGCAAGCCCCGCGCCGCCTGCTCCGCGCTGCAGGCGTAGCCCCGGAGGTGGCGCTCGAAGAGGGAAGCGAGCCGCTCGCGAACCGCCGCCTCGCGCGCGATGGGCTGCCGCAGCGCATCGGCGGGGTCGGCGGCGTCGGCCGCCAAATGTCCTTCGAGCTCCGCCTACTCCCGAAGTGCTGCGGAGACCTGGTCGAGGTCGCATCCCCCCCGCCCCGGGCTGTCGGGCAGCCGTCGCCTCCCCGACGAGTGTCGCGCGCAGGGCGAGGTAGAGCGGGCTGCTCTCGAGGCCCACGTCCGGCACCCACCACGCCTAAGCCACCGGAGAGGCTCACGCCCCCGCGCGCCAGGCGGGGCAGCGGCCGGGGCGAGACCGCGCACCTCGAGCTCGTCGTCGTATCCGCGTGCAGCCTGCGCCGCGACGAGCGACCTCCTCCACCCCTCGCCGCCCTCGCCGCCCTCGCCGCCCTCGCCGCCCTCGCCGCCCTCGCCGCCCTCGCCGCCCTCGCCGCCTCCCGCCCACAGCTCAAGCTCCGGCACGCGCACCTCGGCGGTGTGGACGACGCTCGTCGCGTCGAAGAAGCCGTACCGCTCGAAGAGGTCGAGGTGGTCCGCGTCCGCGTCGTAGCAGAGGGAGACCTCGTCTCCGCGCTCGAGCGCGTAGTTGGCCACCAGCCGCACCGCCCCCCCCTCCTGCTGCAGCCGCGCCGTCGCGCCGACAGACGCGTGGTTGGCCAGGTCGAGGACCTGCTCCACATCACGCGTGAGTGGAGTTCCCATTCTTTCGTTGAAGATAGGCGCGTGCTCGGCGAGGTCGACGGACCGGGATCAGCGCGCGGCCATCCTCGACGGCGAACGCGCGCGTCTGCAGCGCGAGCTTGCCGTGCAAGTATTGGCGCAGCGACAGCGACGGCAACTCGCCCGTGTCTGCGAGCGCCGCATACTCGCGCAGCATCTCGCGGCGACTGCGGCGGCTCCGCTCGAAGGAGAGGCTGCCCGCCGCGCGCTTCGCCTCCTCGCTGCCGTCCTCCCACAGCGCCATCAGGGAAGAGGTTGCCTCGTCGAGGCTGAAGAGCTGACGGTAATACTCTGCGTGCGGGTGCGCGTCGCTGCAGCAGAGGAGAGCGAGTATCAGCCGACCAAAGGCATCGTCGGCGGGAACCATCGCCGCCGCCCTCTCGGGCACGTGAGCCGAGGTCAGGCACCTGTCATCATCATCTCATTCATCAGTCATCGTGGCTGACTAGTTTGCTTCTGCTTGGGCGGAGGTCCGGCACCGGCTCAGAGGGAGCTCTAGCAGCACCTCGTCCGCACCCACCTGCTCACGGCACAGCGCGTGAACGGACGCTGCCCACAGCCCCGAAGGGTGTCCTCCCACCACGCCCGCCCGGCTCGTCGCCACCACGAGGCAGACTCCGCGGCTCGGCGTGAGGCGCGGCTCGACGGCGCACCTGATCACAGCAGCGGCGACGTGGGGACGCCCTTCACGCTGCTCGGCGTGACGCGTCGGCGCGAAGGCGCACACTCTAGGGTCGAGGTGGAGCCACGAGCGAGCTACCGCCCTCATCCGGCCCTCGTCGCCGCTCGCCTGGTGAGTAGCCGAGATCGCCCGAGGTCACCCGAGGTCACCCGAGGTCACCCGAGGTCACTCGAGGTCACCCGAGGTCACCCGAGGCCGCCCGATTCGCCTCGCCTGGTCGCGGAGCACGCCCATCGACCGAACGCCGCGCTCCGCCGCCCACGCCTCCTCCCCCCCCTCGCGGACCACGCACGCGACGCACACGCCGTGCTCGCCAAGCAGCGAGGACAGCTGCAGCGAGGACAGCTGCTCGCGCCCCGGCGGAGACTCCTCCGCCATTTCCGCCGTCCCCTCCCTGCCCTTCCTGTCCTTCTCCTCCGCCTCTCCCTCCACCTCCACCTCCTCCGCCTCGACGATACACACGAGCGCGTCCCGGCTGCACGCCGCGGCGGCAAGAGCGTCGAGCAGGCCGTGGAACCTCCACAACGCCTCGACGCTCGCCCGGCCGCACATGACCTGTGCACAGCTGGACGGTGGGAAGAGACGCTGTCCGCAGGGCCCTCCACGTCCGCCACACCGCACATCACCGACGCCGCGGCTGGCTTGGCGCGAAGCAGCGCTCGCAGCCACGCCGCGTGCACAAAGAGCGCCGTGCAGTGGCCCTCGCCTCCGCCGCCTCCGCCGCCCTCGCCGCCCTGCCGTGGAGATGAAAGCGGCACGTCACGCCACGCCATAGGAAGCCGCTCCCTCTCGCCTGTTCACCAGAGCTGGCGTGAAGAGACGCTCCTCGCAGAAGCGAGGAAGCATCACACCCGCCAACGGCTCCGGGTCGAAGCGTAGATGGTTTCGAACCGTCGAGGATTGGCGGCAGCGACTCCGCCAGCGCGGGCCGTGCCTGTTCCAGCGGCTCATATGTGGATCTCGGCTGATCTCGGCTGGTCTCGGCTGGTCTCGGCTGATCTCGGCTCATCTCGGCTGGGTTCGCACCTGCTGCAGCAGCTCGCGCAGCGAGAGCGCGAAGCCGGGCCACCGGGTGCGCAGGTGCGCCCAGGCGGTCGGCAGGGTGGCTGGCGTGATGAGGCCGTGAGAGATGGCGCAGGAGAGCTCGACCTGCGAGGCGAGACAAGGCGAGGTAAGGATGGGCGAAGCTGGACGGGAGAGGGCGCAGGAGAGGTCGGTTACGGACGGCGTGGGCCTACACCTCGCGTACATCTCGGCACATCTCGCGGCACATCTCGGCTGATCTGGTGGCGAGATCACACGTTGAGGACGGCGTGGTGCCAGCCCGCAGGCACGTAGACGAGCTCGCCGGCCCGCTGGAGGCACTCGCGGACGCGCAGCCTGCTCGCAGCACACGCCGTGAAGAGGCGCCCTTCACGGCTGGAAGGACCTCTCGCCCCGCCCCGCCTTCCCTCTGCGGCGGCTGCTCGGAGAGGCGCGAGGTGGGCTTCGAACCAGCTGTCGACGCCGTGGCTGTACGGCGCGAGACCCAGCCCGTGCACGTCGGTGTCGGGAGGCAGCAGCAGCCAGCGCTTGCAGCCTATTGCCATACCGCCTCAGGCCGTCTGTGCAGAGCGGTGCATCACTCGCAGCTGTTGCGGTTGTGGACCGAAAAGGCAGACGCTCCAGCCGCAGGTCATGCGTGTGTCATCGTGGAGCTTGCTGCCCGTCCTGGGTCCGCCGACGAACCAGTGTGGCCGGCTGATCGTGCCGGGGATCTCGTCGAGCGCGTCCGCAAAGCCGGGAGGCCGGGTGTAGTCACTGAGTAGGACGGCTTTCTCTCCGTTGAACGCAGTCTCGACGAGGTAGCGACCGCCGTCCTGCGCAGTTTCAGCGAGGAAGTCGGCGAGCCTCGTGTGCGTGCCAGCGGCGACCTCAAACTCGAGATGGCCGTAGTGCTCGGCTAGCAGCGAAGGGCTGCCCCAACGTGACGCGGCTCGCCACCCGTCGGCGACGCCGCGGAAGAGCTTTGGCTCATCGTCCGCTACAAGCTCGCTCTCGGTGAGCTCGGCCAGCGGGTGGCGTCGGATGGCAGTGGCGGGAGGAGGCTCTTTGGAATGGTCGGACATAGACGCGCTACAACTGTAGTAGAGCTCTAGCTGGCGCGATTTGGTGCCAAGCACGATTCGCCGCGTTTTTCTTGCGTCTGGAGAGAAAAAGAATTTTCTACTCGCAGAGGGCTTGTGGCAGGGGCAGGTGTCAGGCGCGGAACCGAGCCGGGGTTGTTAGGGGCTTTTCCTCCTTCCCCGAAAAAAGAATTCGTCGAGTGAGGGACGAGATGGTGAGGATTGCGCTCACCGCGGAGCTGCTGGGCGTCAGTGGTGGACATGGATCAGGTAACGTGGATGGGTCGGTGATCAGATACAACAGGTGCTTCTCTGCAATGAATGGGAGTAATGCCAACTTGTGCTGCAACGCAGACATGCAAGCAGCCGCAGCCCTTCGGCCGAGCTCGATCGGACTTTGGCCTCTGGCTGCTGCCTCGCGACAGGGGACCGATTTACTTGAGGCGAAAGGGGGCCGCAGAGTGGGCCCGGTGGCACAAGCAGAGCCAGTCTGGTCCATGCCGGCAGCCCTCAAAGCCCTTGCCCGTTGCGGACATCACCACCTACCCGCCCGCGGCACAGCAGCAGTTTGAGGCTGAGGCAGAGAGGAGGGCATCCGAGGCGTTGGCGGAGGCAGCTGAGGGTGAGAGCGAGGTCGAGGGGTGCATCGACCTTACCGGCAAGGCTGATCGGCCAGCAGTGCTCAAGATGCTCGATCAATACATCCACAAGATTGCAACGGCAACTTACTGCGTGGGTGAGGGTGTCCAGACGGAGTCACAGTATACCGGTGAGCGCAACAGTTCGGGCGAGTACGACGGCCATGGCGTCCTCCGTTATCCGGACGGCGATGTGTACGAGGGCGGTTTCGTCGACGGCAAACGTCACGGCCACGGCCTCGAACGCGACAAGAAAGGCCGGATTTTTTTTGATGGGTTTTTTGAGGACGGCTTGCGGCATGGCCACGGCAAGAAAACGTCTTCTAATGGCACTACTTATACGGGCGAATGGGTGCGCGGGGACAAGAAGGGGCCGTTCGCAATCACTTGGGCCGACGGCACGCATGAGCTGTGCTGCTACCATTGCAATTCAAGCTACTTCAAGCTACCATTGCAGTCCGGGACTGCAGTGCGCTGGAGCAACGGAGGCCAATCAGTGCGCCAAATTAGGTACTTGCCGCTCTGGGTCATACCTAGTTTGGTTCAGCAATGCGTAAAGGGCTTCGAGGAGTTCGGCAAATGGTTCAGCAAGGCATGGGGTGAGAAATCTATCTCCCAAGCCATGTGTCCCATTGCCGCACGATCGATCGATCGCATCCTACTCGCGCTGCTCGCTTTCCTGCTGCTGCTGTTCTCCTTGCTTATAATTGTTAGTATAAGCTACTCTTTGTTAGCAATCATACTAATCTTGTTGGTGCCGATTCTCGTGGCAGCTATTTGCATCCGTTGTCAGCGACGATGGTTCCCATGGTTCAACCAATGGTTTCCATCTCGTGGCCGTGAGATCAGCAAGGAGCGGGCCATCGCAATTGCCCGCGAATTCCAGCTGCATCCGCCAGAGAGCGTTGCATCCACGCCAGCACCCAGCGACACCGTCGACAGCGTGATGTGAGGTTCTGGGTACGCGGCAGTCTCGATCACAGAAAAAAAATTGCTAGAAGAAAAACGAGCACGCATATTCTCCCCCCTCCATTCTCTCCCCCTTGGCGCGGGCGCCCCACTCCCCCCAGCCCCTGAATCGCGTACTAGCTGTGGCTACCGTAGGCCACACTTGCGTCGCCGGGGGTTCCCTGCCCTAATGGGAAACTGGCCGCTGATCCGAAGACCGACTGCACCAGGGTTTGCTAGATCGCGCGGGGTGAATGAGTGATGAAGTTAGTGCCTTGGGTGCCCGTTCCCCATGGTGGCTTCCCCTGGTCTCACGACCATGAATGAGAGCTCTCACTCCCAGGGTACTCCCGCGTATCTCGGCTCCCTTATCCCCCCCCTCTTCCCCCCCCTTTCTCTCTCCGAGATGACCCGTGCTCTACGTGCCTAGGTTCGGTCCTCGGGGAGGGGGGATTGTCGGTGTGTCCTCGCGAGTTTTTTCGCTGGACGCCCGACAGCTTCGATTTCCCTCCTTAGCGCCCCGGGTAGAGCGTGGTCTCCCCTGGAGCCTGCCACGCCCGTTCTGTCTAAGCCCAGGGTTCAGCTTTCCAGTTGATCCTTATCGGACTGGTGAGTTCCTTCTCGCTGTCAGTGTGACGCCCCGGCAGACATTGGCAGCGGTGCTACACACACTACGGCGAGTCTACGCCATTTTTCGTTTGACGTTTTTAAGGGTGTTCTTTTTTAACAATTCCTCTCGAGTGTTTTGTTTTGACAAGATTTTGTGGGCTAGCTATCTCGCAGTACATGCGCACGAGCTTACCGTATTGTTGCACTATGCACATAGCGGTTTAAGCTTTAACAGGAGGAAAGAAATTTTAGCCATCGTGTTTTTCTTTTTATGCTTTGGCAGTAAAAAGAACTGCGTGCGGCAGGCGCGGGCTCGGTCGATATCCCATACTTCGACTCACATCTTCATTGCTGCGGTGTGAGTGTGCCCGGGGAGGCGCGGCTGCGGGGTGGGTTGAGAAGGTCTCAGAATGCAGAGAAACTGCAGGCGTGGGCAGAGGCGCGCGCTGCAGTTTCTCTGATCGGGCTGCTGGCGGTGTGAGCGCGGGACGGCGTGGTGAGGCGTGAGGCAGGCTATTGTTGTGGGGTGCGGGCTGCGTCGTTAGGCGTATGCGTGCCCATGGTGCTGTATGCTGTGTGTGCGAGCAGGCTGGCGGTCTGTGCAGCAGAGAGCGGTTGAGCGCGCGCGCGCGCTCGTGCGGGCGTGCGTGCGCGCAGCGTGCCACGCGCGCGCCTCGTGCAGTGCAGACAGGCGCGAGGCGGCAGGGGCGCAGTGCGGAGCACGCGGGCTGATGGTGCTGTATGCTGTGTGTGCAGGCAGGCTGACAGGCTGTGCAGAAGACTGAGCGGATGAGCGCGCGTGTGGGAGCGTGCGTGCGTGCGCGCCTTGCGTGGTGCGGAATCTGCGTCGTACTCGCGGCGCGTCCTGGTACAGCCGCTTGTGAGATGCCAGAAGCAGTGTGCAGAGCCTGCACAGGGCGCAAAAAGGCGAGGTAGTGCTGGTGAGGTGTGCTGCGGCGCGCGTCGCGGCGTGAGTGGATATGCGGCTTGCTCTGGTGGTGCGAGGGGCGCGTGGCTGGTGCGGGCGGCGCGGGACGGCCATGGGGCGCCAGCACAGGGCAGACGCACATGACACAGGCTTCTGGGCGCTACGCGTGTGTTTGCGTGCGCGCGGGGACGTACGCGCAGTTTTCACGCGGTGTGCGTGGAGAAGGGCATGAGGGGCGCCGGCCGCGCGTGTATTGGCGTGTGAGAGTGCGTGGTGCCCGAAGGCGAGAAGGCCCGAAGGCAGGGAGGAGTTCTCCGCCTCGCGAAACGAGACTTGAAGAAAACCTCAGTCTCGATCACAGAGTCTCGATCAGAGACCGATCACGATAATTAGTTCTCGGGACCAGTGTTGTGCGAAAAAAGCGCAGACAATGAGGAGCTGTGAGTTATAGCTGGGCTATGAGACATTGCGGAATCTGACATTAACACACGACAACGTACGTAACGCGTGACCCCCCTCTCCATGGGCATGGCGTCACGCGCCTGCACCACTCACCCGTCCCCCTCCTCCGAAAGCCCGATGACGGCGCCGAATGCCTCGAAGAGTGAGCCGATTGGGATGGCGGCGATGGCGATGCCGGCGATGCACATGAACGCGGCGACCGCCCTGCCTCCGAGCGTGAAGTCGCACACGCCCCACTCGCCGCAGAGGAATATGGCCGTCATGTAAAGCGCGTCGGGCATGTGCGCAAACGTCTCTTGCGAGCAGCTGCCCGGGTGCGCCGTGTTGCACGCGGTGGTCGAGGGGAAGGAGAAGCACTCGGCCGGCGAGAGGCCTGTTCGCAGGCGGAGGCGTGAGGAGGCGGCCCCCCTCCCTGGGAGCAGCACTTAGCGCAGCGAGGTGCCGTCGCACTCGCGGTAGTTTGGGTTGTGCTGCTCGAAGAGGAAGAAGAGGGCTGCCCCTCCCACCCAGATGATGAGCGCCATCAGGCCGGTGGCCACCAGCACGTCTGCCGACGCGCGCAGCACGTTGTCGAGCAGCGTGAAGGCGGTGAGGAAGCGCTCGAGCTGCAGGACGCGGAAGAGACGGAAGATGCGGAAGACGGCCGCCGCGTCCGACGAGCTGCCGGCGAGCCCCAGCGCGAGGCTCGCCTGCTGCACGTACCACGGCAAGAAGGAGAGCAGGTCGACGATTCCTGCAGCCGAGACGGGGCCGAGGTGAGGCAGAGATGCTGCCGCGGTGGGCACGGCGAGACGGCGAGCATGCACCAAAGAAGGTCGTCGCGTAGTAGACGGGCGAGTAGAGGTGGCGCTTGTCCTTGGCGGCCGAGAAGATGCGCGCGCAATACTCGCCCGAGAAGACGAAGCACGAGACGGCCTCCAGCACCTGCTCACAAGCAGGCGTGTGAGCAAGCGCGGCTCGCAGCAGGCGACGCGCGAGAGGGCGGTACGTCGAAGAAGTTGTGCGGCTCGTTGCCGACCCACCGGTCAACCTGGCGGGACATGAGGACGGGGAGGGCGACTCGCGCCCTTCTCTTCCCTCCCTCCACCTTCCCGCCCCCGCCCGCCACCCACTCTCGGGGGGGCTGATCGCGGCGGAGGGACGGCCTGCGGGACAGTCTCGGCGGCGACGGCAACGAGGTTCGCTAGGATGAGGACGAGGATGCCTGCCGCCTCGAGGCAGCCGAGAGTCAGCCGAGAGTCAGGGAGCGTCAGGGGTGCAGGACGAGGATACCGCTGCGGAAGGCGCCCGACGCTGCGCTGCGACGCAACGAGCCGTCTCCGTTGAGGAAAGTGTTGACCTGCTCCTGCAGCGCGTCCACCTTTGGCCCCCAGCGAGAGCGCGGCGGCGGCAAGCCCTCCAAGGCCGCGTACGCCGTCTCAAAGTAGCCGTCGCCCGACTCGCCCGTCTCGTGCCGCTCGTCGACCACCTATCCGAGGTGCGGACGAGGTGCGGCCGAGGGGCGGCCGAGGGGCGGCCGAGGGGCGGCCGTGATGTAAAGCCGAGGTATGGCTAAGGAGGAGCCGGCCTGCTGGAACCCCGAGGCGATGAGGCCCGACGGCACCGACACGACTCCGACGGCGGCCACGACCATGAGGAAGCAGGTGACGCGGCCGGCGGCGGAGTAAGTCACGATCGGGTAGTCGCCTGTCTAGAGACGGAAGCGTGAGGCGACGCCGCTCGCGGCAGAGTGGTGGGTCAAGGGTAGTCGGCCAGTGAGGTGGATGAGGGTGTAGAAGGATGCGCCGCCCCACGAGCCGAACCTACACTCCGGGAGAAGTCGGGTCCTCTCGGCTGTTCTCGGGGAGGACAGAAACGCCGCCGCCCCAATCGAGCCGGTCCGCCATCGTGCAATCCTCGATGCAGCCGTACGAGGGTAGGGGGTCGTCGAGCTCGTTCGCCGTGTCGGCGTGCTCGCACAGCCAGAGCAGCGACGAAAAGAGCAGCCACAGCGCGAGGGAGGCGCCGGCGGCGAGCAGGAGGGGCTGCCGCTTGAGCCGGACCACGTCGTCGATGAGGGTGATCGAGGGCACGTACTTGTCGAGCTTGAGCAGCCGCAGCAGCCGCAGCATCCGGAAGTAGGCGTCGTGCTCGTCCACCTGTGCGAGAGGAGCCGAGATGAGCCGAGATTCCTCGAGGTCGGGGCGAGGGCCGCGCGCTGCTCGTCCACCCAGCCGCCCGGCGCCGCCTGCGCGATGTAGAAGGGGATCACGGCGAGGAGATCGACCGCCTGTTCATGAAGCAATCGACGGTCATTCGGCATCTTGGGGGGCGACTACGAGGAGGCCGACCACCGAGTAGAAGGAGAAGACGAAGCGGAGCCGCGCCTGGCCAAGCAGTGGATCGATCATTCCCTCCGGCGCCCGAGGCGATGGGGGAGAGAGAGAGGCGGAGACGCACCCGGCCGCCGCCGCCGAGGTCGGGGTCGGCGGGAGCACTGAGCAGCCGCAGCAGGTACTCGACGGTGAAGAGCAGGACCTGTTCACAGCCAGAGGCGTGAGGAGACGCTGTTCACGGCGGCAGGCACTTGACGGTGGCAGGACCGAAGCCCACTCGGCCGCCGCAAAGAGCGAGCACTCCGTCGTCGCCGCCGCCGCGCCGTCGCACTCGTACTCCGGCAGCGTCTCGAGGATGGCGAGGCCGACCGAGAGAAAGATGACGCCAAAGATGACTCGCAGCGCCGCGCCGCTCGAGAGGGCGGCGTGGATGGCGGCGTAGAGCGGCGGCGGCGCGTCGAGCGGTGTCGCGTCGGCCGCCGCCGCACTCGCGTCCTTGGTGCGCCCCTCGACGAGCTGCTCGAAGGAGGCGCCAACGAGGCCGATCGGGATGCCTGAGGAGTGGGGGGTAGAGGGTGGGTGGTTCATCACTCGCGGGTCAGGCCGGCGAGGCCGATCTCGATGCCGAAGAGCCCCGTCGCGACGATCGCCATGAGGGCGGCGAGGAGCTTGCCGGCGGTCGAGTAGTGGCAGAGCGGCGATTCGCCCGACAGGTTGAGCAGCGTGAGCCACATCGCGTCGGGGATGGTCTTGTAGCTGCCGGCCATCTCCGCGTCCAGCGAGCCGCGCTCCGCAAAGTACATCCCCGTGGCGAAGGCGACCTAGCCACAGCACGGCTTCATGAAGAGGCCCCGAAGCACCCTCACAGTGCATCCCCGTGGCGAAGGCGACCCAGACGAGAAGCGCGCCGAAGCCCGCCACCGAGAGCAGCGGCAGCGCCTCGCCGAGCTGCGCCGCGAAGGCGCGCGCCACGCCCACCTCTGCGCGAGGCGGCGGCGCATGCACGTCCATGTGCAGGTGCCGCTCGTCGAGGAAGCGATCGCGCTCCGTGACGAGGTGCCTGCTCTCCAAGTGCCGCACCGAGGCGCGCTCGTTCTCCGCCTAGGGGGCAGCCACCTCGTGCTGGCCACAGTGCAGCGAGGCCCCCTCCGCCTCGTCGAAGTCAGGCCGTGTGTGGACCGCTACCTCCAGCTGCAAACTAGCTGCAGCTAGCAAGGCGCCTCGCTGACGAGGTGCGTCAGGTTGTCGATGCTCGCACGGACGCCCGTCTCGCCGTCCGCTGCCTTCCGCTTCTCGAGCACCACCTGGAAGCCGTTGCCGACGATAGAGGCGGGGATCGCGAAGAAGGCTACGGCGACGAGGGCGACGAGCGTGGCGAGGAGCTTGCCGGCGGGCGAGTGCTGCTGTACGAGCGGGAACTCGCCGAAGAGGTTGAGGAGGGTGAGGAAGAGGGCGGACGGGATCGACTCGAACAGGCTCGAACAGGGCGGTCCGCCCTCATCCCCTTCCTTGGCCGCGCAGCCGGCCTCGGAGCAGTCCACCAGCCCCCACTCGTCGAAGGAGCACGCGCCAGTGTCGACGTCGGGGCAGGCGGCGCAGTAGATCATCTTCGGGTTGCGCCGCTCGGCGAGGTAGTAGAGGGACGAGCAGATGGTCCAGATGACCGTCCCCACAAAGGCGGCCGTCCGCAGTAGCCCGCCGCGGGAGAGCTCCTCGTGAAGCTCGTCGAGCAGCGTGAAGGACTCGACGTACCGCCCCTCCAGCCTCATCATGCGCGCGAGGCGCAGCATCCGGATCGCCTGCGAGGCGGGCAGGTTCCCCTCGATGAAGAAGTCGAGGTAGAAGGGCAGAGTCGAGACGAGGTCGACAAGAGCGTAGAAGGAGACGGCGAAGCGGAGGCGACCGCACGCGCCGGCGTAGGCGGCGTCGGCCTCCGGCGCAGTGGCCAGCCGCGCAAAGTAGTCGACGGTGAAGACTGCGACGGTCAGGATCTCAAACACGGAGGTGCCGAGGAGGCCGTTGTCGTCGTCGTTGCCAAAGAACCACCGGTCGAGGCCTCGACAGCGGTCCGCCGCGCAGAGCTGGTACGGGCCGTCAGGGTTGTACTTCGGGTGGAAGACGGTCGAGAGAACGAACGTGAGCACGTTCAGTCCGATGAGGACTACGGTGACGCGCTGGTAGCGCCGTCCGGCCGTGCTTCGGCCCTCGAGAAAGTCGTAGACCTGGCGGTTGGCCGAACATGGGATCATCCATGCACGATTCGGCCGACTGGGGTTGGACTCCTCGCGGCCTCGGTGACACCCTCACTCTCGAGGTTCTCGAGGTGGATATCCTTTGGCCGCGTTGGGTAGCGAGGATTGGTGTAACCCGAGCCACGGAGGCGTGATTTCTGACGGCCGACCGTCAGTGCACGGAGTTGCCCCTTCTCCGACTGCCCACTAGAGTGTGCGTGTCGAGTGTCGTCATCATACATATCCTGTCCAGCGTCCACCCATACCGCGTTGGTGTCCAGTCCGAGCCTGGCTGTTCTTCACCTTCCTACATACATACATTAGAGTGTGTCTTGTGTGTGAGAGAGAGCTCCTCGCTCATTGAGACCCATGTCGGCACATGAGACATGTGTGGACTCGTGGGATTCAAAAAACTTGCTCCTTGCTGCGCGCCATCCTCGCGCGGCCGCTTCTTGCGCCGCGACTGCAACTCGTGAACTGCTCGTGAAGTCGTCGGGGCGACCTTTCGAGCTCTCGCTGGAGTCGCTCCATCTGTTGACGCTTGCGGCGCTGTTCTCGAAACGGGTGCCCCGGCTAGACGACGTCCATGCAAGAGAGCGGCCGCACACTGCTCGGTACCCCCCCTGCACAACTAAGCTCATCCCTGCTGCTAGGGGGGGGGGTCTGACCCCCCCAGCAGCAGAGCGCTGCTGCTGGGGGGGGGGTCCGGACCCCCCCAGCAGCAGAGCGCACTGGACCAGCTCTCCCGCCTCTTCGCCGCCGCCCCCCCCTCCACCCTCGGCTCGTGTTTGAGCGGTACGCTCGAGGCGGTTGTGTTCACCGCGCCTTCGAGCCCAATACACCTTCGTCGTGTCGAGTGCTGGCGTTTTTTACAAACACTTGTGACCATGTGAGTCTATCTTGTAATACCACACGCGCCTATACATCAGTGTAGTCTCATCATCGAGTGATTGCTGGCTTGTGGCGTATGACCTCGCGCGGATATCACCAACGACGAGCATGCGAAGATGGGAACAATATCTTGTACAGCCCGCTGTGCTCCCCGCTGTGCCACGGCGTATGATGGGCTGCGAGAGCCGTATCTTCCCCCCTTGAAGCAGAGGCGCCGCGAGGCACGAGAGGCGTAGAAGAGAGGCTGGCGTGCCCCGCACCTCCCGGTTGGCAGTAGGAGGGCCCGCCGGTGAGACCACTGATTTTGATGCCGACCATAAATTCTCGCCACTGGAACGCATGCTACTTTACAGCTGCTGTCTGTACAGAGATGCCAGCACCCCCCACAGGCAGAGCGCTCCTGCTGGGGGGGGGGGTCCCGACCCCCCCAGCAGCAGAGCGCTGCTGCTTGGGGGGGGGGTCGGCCATGCGCTTAGTTGTGCAGGGGGGGTACCGAGCAGTGTGCGGCCGCTCAGAGCGGGCTCTGTAAGAAGCCGAGCCCCGTAATGTCGGGGCCTGTACCGCCGCTTCGTCGTTCGTTCCATACACCACACTGGGGTGGTAACGCCCCCGAACTCGAGGTGCGTGGCGGCACAAGTGTGTCGAACACCGCGGGTGGCCGCCACGCACCTCGAGGCCATGGGTGGGGGCCTTGTATGTAGGGAGTGAGTGTGACCCGCGGTGCTTCCCCCCCCTCCCTCCCTCCCTGCTGCGGCCGCACACACGCGCACACACTGACTCACAGATGCGACGCAACCACCCCTCACAACACTTGTGGGGAGTGCGCGCGCAACCGACCGCAAGCGGGTCGCTCCATCCAGAAATCTCCCACCCAATCAATTCCCCAACCTCTCCCGCGCCTCGCTGCACGCCGGTCTGGCGAGACACGCAAGCTGGGACCGCGGCGTGAGATGAGAGCCTCTGAGAAAGAGAGCATCGCAGCCAGCGCTGAAGATCCGCCCAATTACGATGAATGAAAAGGAAGTATAAGCAACCCGCGAAATGCCCCAAAAATTGCTACCGGCAGGCGAGCAAGTAGTTCCGCATTGGTCGCCGCGCTCTGGTTGCCGCCTCCCCTGAGCATCTCAAACAAAGCAGGGATGGCGATCGAGGCGCGACCTGCGTCAGCAGGACTACCCCTCATCTTCTGGCTCCTCAATTGTGTGCGCAACGCCGGGGCGCAGTGCGGCTTCGCCACCAAGGACCCGCACCTACACTTCGCACATGGAGGCCGGGCAGACTTCAGAGGACGCAACGGGAGGTTCTATACCTTCTTCTCGGTGCCCGGCCTCTCAGTCAATGTCAAGACAGAGGACGCCACCTTCAAAATGCCTGCTCAACACCTTGTTGTTGACGGCTCCTTCATCACCGAGGTGCACGTGGTCGCGCGTGTCGGCGGTGCCAAGCGGAAGCACGCCACCGCCTCGTTCTGGGCCTCAGAGCTCAATGAGTTCAACACTGGGTGGCGGGTCATCAACGGGACCTGCGGCGCCAAGGGGAAGTTTGTCCTCGGCATGGGCGACACTCGCTCATGCGAGGACCTCAAGGTCAGGCTCGGCTTCTCTACCGGAACGTTCACCTTTGGCCAGTGGTTGGTCAAGGTCCAGGGCAACTTTGTGTATGGGCACATGAAGGGGCCAGCCCACCGGCTTGACCTGAGTTTCCGCGGCCGTGGCGACGTGGCAGAGCGCCAGCTGCCGCATGGCATCATCGGCCAGTCCTTCTCGTCGACACAACCGCGGTTTGGCAAGGTGGACGACTACCCGCCGTCGGGCCACTTTGTGACAGATGCGATGGCGGAGGGCGCGATCGAGGGGATGGCAGCCATGTACGAGGTGGCGTCGCGGCACTCTACCCGTTTCGCTTTCTCACGCTTCGATGCCGTCGAGAGCTCGCCTCCGGACGGCACACTCCTGTCCGCCGAGGGGGGAGTCGCTGCAGAGGCTTCTGCCAGCGACCTGGAGGCTGCGCTGCGTGTCGCTCCTCGCCGGCTTGCCGAGTTGCCGTGCTCGCCTCCCTCTCCGCCCCCGCCCCCACCTCCGCTCCCGCCACCACCGTCCCCACCGCCACCCTCGGGCCTGCCGCCGCTCTCCCCGTCGCCGCCGCTCTCGCCGCCGCCGCCATCGCCGCCGCCGCCGCCGCCGTCGTCGCCGCCATCACCGCCGCCGTTTCCGCCGCCAATCCCGCCACTGCTGCCGGGCGAGAAGGTAGCGTCCACGATTGCCTTCACCATCAAACTCGGCACCCTGGGCACGCCGTCAGAGCTCCGGACGCCCCACGAACCACAAACCGCCCTTCCGGCGTCCACAGAGGCCAAGATGTACGGCATCGACGTCACCGCGGGTCAGAGGCCAGAGGTGGTGCGATGGCAGTTGTCTTGCCGCGGGATAATGCTGTTGGCGGGAGGCGCTCCCTTCACCGCCATCGTGCCCGCCATTCCGGGCACGACATGTTCGCTAGAGATGTACGGTAGCAACTGGTATGGTGCCACTTGGGCAGGGCTCGGGCAGAGCGGCCTCGAGCCTACCCTGGCGCCGTCGCCATCATGACTGGGGCGACGACTCGGCGGGAATTGCCTTTGAGCGTCCTCCCCTACTCACCCGCACCCTCGAGCCCACATCTCTACCCACCACACCCCGTCCGTCCCAACCCTGCTTCCTATGTGTACTTTATATCCTACTGGACGTACGCGTTATCCGGTAAGTCTACAACCCACAAGCTCCGCGACTTATGCGATGTCCTTGCTTGTGTGGGTTGTGGGTCGCGGCGGGGTTGGGCTACGGCTCTAAATTGATCCCTGGTCTGGACGATTTTTTCACGGTATCTCCGCGGCGAGGTATATGGCGGGATACCGTACCGCGGGATACCGCGGCCGATACTGCGGGATACTGGGAGATACCGGAAGATGATGACGAGATTACGGGGGGATATCGGGGGATACGCTCGAGAGATACGGGGAGATACGGGGAGATACGGACAAATGCGGGGAGAGATACGGGGAGATAGAGCGCTATAGTCCCTATATAGAGAGGGGAATATGTGCGGCTTAACCGTTTTACGGATTACGCGGAGATATTCATACATCAGGATTTCCCCGCTTGCATCATATCATGGTTTTCGCCATGATATTATGGAGGCATGATATCTTAAAGGTCGGCACGTCATTTTCACGCTCTTGAAATCACACCTTGCGATTTCACACAAAGATCACGCTCTTGAAATCACACTTGCGATTTAACACAAAGAAATCACGCTCGCCGCTCGGAGCCCGGAGCGATATTTTGTGCCGGTTACTACGGCAAAAATGTGTATAGCTGCGCGCGCTTCTACTGTACACGCGGGCGCAACGAACATGGCTAGTACAGCAGAGCACATGCGAGGGCACCGGCGCCGCGACTTCAGACAGGCTGCTAGTGCTACGACTAGTCTGGAGAGGCAAAGCGTCTATCATGACTCTACATGCGGCGTTGGCAATCGGCGCGCCTATGGTGTTGACTCGCACCGAAGGTAGTGTACAGTCGTCCCCAACGTCGCGCGCCTACAGCCCTCTCCACCCAGACAGACAGGCTGCTACGGCTAGTGGAGAGGCAAATCATGACTCTACGTGCGACGTTGGCAATCGGCGCGCCTATGGTGTGAACTCGCACCGAAGGTAGTGTACAAGCGTCCCCAACGTCGCGCGTGCCTACTCTCCTCACTCGGGGCGTGTGGGTATCGGGGCCGATGCCCGCGTGGAGAGTACCTGCGGGCAGAGAGCAGCGTGCCGATCACGTTGACGTGCTCGTCCTTGGCCGCCGCGTGCAGCGCGGAGTTGGACGCGGGCACCTGGTCGAGCACGTTGACCCGGAGGAACCGACTGCATGTCGATGTTGGGGCCTGGCGCGGCGCCGGAGTCGCCGAAGTCCGCCCGTCCGTAGCCCTCCTCTGCCTCCGAGAGGGAGCGCGCGTCGCCACCGCCCGAGAGAGAGCCGCGGGCCGGAGACTCGGAGAGGTTGGACAGCTCGCTGTCGCTGCTCTTGCTCGCTCAAGCCGGGCGCGTACGCGTCGTCGCTCAAGTCGGTCATGCCCTGCGACAGACACCACGGGTG